ATTGCACAAGAATTGCTTTCATGACATGCTTAAGCTGTCCACATTGATTTGGATTCAAACTGAACATCATCACAATAATTTCCCAAACATTTCCTCAAGAGAACAATTCATCACACTATGCAAACCGCCCCACCAATATTACTTTGACAAACAAAACCCCACAAGAATTGACTAATTTTAAGTCTCTAGCTATAAAGGAAAAAAGAAAAATCTCCTAATTAGTGGATGACACACCCCACCAAAGTTTACTAACCTAAAACAACAACAACAAGGCCTTGATAAGGGCAATAAAATAAAAGGCAGATTAGTGGGCAAAAGGAGGTTTTTAGATATACACACCTGAAACTTGCTTGCTTACATGTGAGAGTACAAAACACAAGATTAAAAAGTTTGGACAAAAAGAAAGTAAAAAAAGAAGATAGTAGTGCGCTAGCCCACCATAGGTCCATAGTTACATAGGACAGAGGACTTTGAGATGGGTTATTTTTATTGGTAAAAGGGTTCAATTTCATCACAGATTTCTTGTTTGCATCATCTTTAGATTAATTTATTCCTTGGGATTGACTTTCTGTTTAGGCCCACATCATGCATCAATGGCAAAAGAACTGTTGTAGTGGTCTTGAATTATGATTTTCTGCCAAAACCCATAACATAGACCCATTTGGGCTTTTGATCCATAGAAGAAAAGACCCATTTGGGCAGATTGGGACCTAAGAATGTAAATTTTCATAGTTGCTGTGAACAGCAAAAAAATTAATAATTACACCCAACTCCTAAAAGAATTTTGTTGTGGTTGATTTGTGTTGTTCTTATTTGCCAACCCTTTGGGTTGTTGTTTCCTTTCCCGTTTATGTTTTGTTTAGGCCTTTCATGTGGTTTGTGTTTTTGTACATTGTTGTTATGTTGCACCGGATTTTGTCATCTTTTCTTTGTTATAACTTATTTTTTGATACAAGTGATATTGGGAGAGGGAGGAATCGAACAAAGGAGCTTGGGTGCAGAATAAATGCTTTTAACCATTTGAGTTATAAGCCTCTTACTTTTTCATAACTTATACTCAAGAAATTGTTGTTAATACTCCAAAAAAAAAAGAAGTAATCTTTTATATTTATGAGTGCAACTTATCACTTATAGTTAGGAAATTGTTGAGTTATATTTTTGTGATGGGGGAGTGAGGAACGAACTGTTTTGAAGTGCATAATTGGAGTTCAAGCAAACCAAAGTGCATAATTGGAGCTTAATAAGCATTAACGTTAATTGTTCGATAAATTGTAAATATAAACAGTTAATTAAGTTAATTTTTGTCAAAATATATGATTCAGATTCACTGACAACAACATATAAGTGTGCAGAGACAGACTCACTTGGGCCATAGCCCTAGCTAAACAGGTCTATTGCCCGTCCTTGCAAGTACGGCAAAAAAGGAAAATGCAATATCAAAAGTAAATGTATTTTGGAGTGGCTAGAGAACTAATCATATTAAATGGGATAGATGAAAAATTGTTCTTTCCATGATAGAATGTAAATAAAATTCAAGATATTATTAAGAGAAAAATAGTCACCTTTGATTTTTAAATAATATAGAGTATAGTCGGACGGCTATGCTCCTTAAATATATTTGAATATTTAAATTAGTGTCGGCCTTTCTCTCTTTGTGTTACCGTCACTCTCATCTTCCAATTCCATTTTTTCAAACACTTAAAAAGAAAAAAGAAAAAAAAGAGAGAGGATGTTTTTCCGGTTTCCCTTGAAAATGTGGTGAAAAGGAAAGCAAAGTGAAGATATCGTGAATTTGGGTTTATGTTATTGGGCTTATGAGTAGATATGTACCTATTAGAAAAACAATGGTCCTGTTATTGGAGCTTAATTCCATCCATCAATGGTTTAAGCAGAAGTGAATTTCCAGCTAGCCTTGAGGGTAGTGTTTTGAGATGTGATGATGCATCAAAGAATGATGTCATACCAGTTTACGAGTAAATTGAATAACATACTTATTTTAGATATTGATAATGTTGGTGATGGCGGTAGGATTGGATAAATTGTGTTTGTAACTGATTAAGATAGGGGTGGTGGTGTTTATTGCTTTTAACACGGTGTATAGTTTTCCTAAGTTTTCTTTCCCTTTCTATTTTTCTTCTAGGGTTTGAAAGCTTTTGTAATGGGGTGGCTTGATGAAGCACGAGATTTACATAGTATAGCACAATGCAAAAATTCCTAAATGTTACACACTTGAATTTTTAAATAGTACAGCCGAACGGCTATACTGTTTAAATATATCAATATTTACACAATATAGCCGTGCGGCTATTCTCTCAGAATATTTAATCAGTATAGCCGGGCTATACTCTCTGAATGTATACGACAGCATAGCCGCGCGGCTATACTCATATATATATATATATATATATATATAGAAAATAAGCTTATTTGAGGGACACCCCTTGTAGGGCCACTATGGATTGTATTTCACTAATTCAAACCGTCTATTTTGTAGATAATCATTCAAAGATCATCTCTACAACCGGGATCGCCTGCTCATCCCTAGCCACATGGTTGTTGAGGATTTCTCCATGTGGTCTAGTCAAACGATCCTCAAATTGGATTGTTTTCCCCTAGTACATGATGATGGTGTGAGGGGAGTGTATATATATATATATATATATATATATATATATATGATACATTTTAAGAAGAGTGGTGATATCCCCACTCCTTTTTCTCCTATTTTATCCACTTACACTCTTTTTTTACTAAAAAAAGAGTGTAAGTGGATAAAATAAGAGTGGGGAAATCATTGCCCTTTAAGAATATAGCCTATTTAATAATATTCCAATTTTCCCCTAGTTGATTTTTTATATTCCTTGATATGATATGGGGCCGCATCTAAGACAGACCAGTACAATGAAATAGGCCACTCTTATCACTCAACACCATGGACCCAAAAGCCAGTAGGGGATGTATGACCTATGGGCCTATCTATTTATTGTGACTGGCCCTTAAGCTTTGTCCACTAAGGTGACCTCTTCAAATATTGAGTTCAAGCAAACCATAGTGCATTATTGGAGCGTAATAAGGGTTAACGTTGATTGTCCGATAAATTGTGAATACGAATCGTTGATTAAGTTAATTTTTGTTAAAATATGTGATTCAGATTTACTGGCAACAACATATAAGTGTATAGGGACAAACTTAAGATTTCAAAATGAAGTGAGTTAGATTTATATTACATGTGGACTGTTAGATTTTAGATTGAGCTAAACTTTAAAACCTATATACCAAATACTAATTATAAGAAGAAGAAAAAAAACAAAACAAAAAACTCACATGGGCTATAGCCCTAAATAAACAAGTCTATTTTCGATCCTTGTAAGTCGTCAAAAGAAAAAAAAAAAACAATATCAAAAGTAAATGTGTTTTCGAGTGGCTAGAGAATCAATTATATTATTTCCAAAAAAAAAAAAAAAGAGAATTAATTATATTAAATGGGATAGATAAAAAATTGTTCTTTCCATGATAAAATGTAAAGAAAATTCAAGATATTATTAGGAGAAAAATGGTTAATAATTTGTCCATTGTCAAATAACCTAAATTAACCACACATGCATTCATATAGGGGGACCACACATTACATATATATTGCGTGTGTATCCCTGCGACTTGGGAACTTTGGAGGACATGTTTTGATGCATGATCAACCTTCAATATTAATGCATCTTAATATAATTGATTGTACGAAATGACTTACATTTCAAACATGTCCTTTTCTAATATGTAACGTGGATGTTATGAAGTAATGACTTTTTTTTGACAACGTGGCAATAAGTTGCATGGTACATATACATATCACCTTATGTATTATCTTTCTAATAGAGATGAAGCCCAGCCAATACAATGGAGCCCGTTTGTTTGACAAAAGAAGTAGTATCCAAATAAAATTTTGTATTTAATAAATAGGAAAAAACAATTACATAGGGTTTTTCTGAAAGACAAGTAGAGATCAAATGACAACACCCAAACATAGAATCCGATTTCCATAAATATGATAAATATTTTCATCTTTTTCTCTTTTGTGTTTGTCCCGATATTACTTGGGGTTGTTAGGTGAGATTTGGCCCAAAAGAAAATCTTCATAAACTTTTACAAACGAGATTGCAGAGAAGTAATAACATATTTTCTCCAACCATCACAATTTACTTCTGAACTTAACAAATGAAGAAATCAGACCAAACAATTTCTTTCCAAAACTAACTTGCGCATCAAATTCACGTCTCTACAAAACTAACGCGCGCATCAAATTCTCACATTACTTTTCCGAATACAGAAAGTGACATGGAAGCAAACGCAGAGGGAAAATAATTGGTGAAAGCCACCCAAAAATATGAAAAGAAGATGACATTTAACATCTTACTAAACCCTAATAAATGGGGCAGTTAGTTGTTCGTTCAATTTGATCAGAAGAAAGGAAAAAAAGTCGCACTTAATAAAGCTTGCCCATTTTTTTTATTATCTGTTGAAGTGATCGAAAAACTAGAGTGTAGTGTGAGTATGATGATGAAGTATAACTCGGTTGTATTATAGACATATTTATTGATATTATACATTAACGTGTGAAATCTTAACTACATTATCCACTCATATTATAATACGTGAATGTAACCGTAATCTAATATACTATAATAATTATCGAAGTGATAATACAAAACCAATGACCAGTCGAAGCTAAATTACAAAATCTTTTGAGTCTTTGCTATCAGATTTGCACTCACTCAGTGACAAGTTCCGTCTGCCAACAAACACCCTATATTGTTTATTGTTAATCTCACGCACTTGTCTTGTGCCCCCTCCTGGGCCTCCGCGTGTCCCAATCGAAATAAATGAATTGAAGTGAGTGAGGCAAGGGCAGTTGAAGTAATTATGATCCAGTCGACAATGCTGGTGGAGTGTTATTTCTTGACCCATCAACTCTCTTACATGGTGCATTTCCCTCTATAAATGCTGAAGCTACTTGCTCTTGTTGGCACCATATTAACAAGCTCAGCTCTGAGTTTTCTTGCTTGCTTGCTTCCGTTCATCCATCAATCAAAGCTTTCTGTTGCAATTTTTTTGAAGTCTCAATGGGTTTTCGTCTTCCTCACATCTTTGCTTTTCTCACTGTAAAGCTTTGTAACTTTGATTTGTTTTCATTTTTCATGTCTGCTAATTTAATTTTCTCATCTCATACGTACTAATGGGAGTTCAAAATGTTGCAGCTCACACTGGTGGCAAGCCACGCTGCTCTACCACCTCAGCTTTACTGGAACTCTGTCTTGCCAAACACTCAAATGCCAAAATCCATCAGTGAACTTCTCCAGCCTGGTTAGTATTTAGAATCCCATACAAGCTCGTATATTTTGTGTTAATTATTCTGTAAGTGATTTGATCCTTTGTCATGGTAAATTATTGTAAAAGAGGAAGGGAGGGGAGTGGCTTAAAAGGAATACTTCATTAAAATCGGATTCTCTAGCTTCCATAGAACATTAATTTTGAGTTACATGTACTGTTTTTTAAAATTGTTACATATATATATATATATATCAATAAAAGGCACAATAAAAAAAGTCATGCCAAATTGACCAGGATAGAATTGTGTAAACTGTTATTGGCACTTTAAAAAAAGGGAGTTTCACTAAAACACCCAAAATGGAGGTTGAAATTATAAAAAAACCCAACACCCAAAACACTTTATAAACACACCCAAAACTCATCATTACACATACTCAAAACTAATTTATAAACACATCCAAAAAGTTGACTTTGGAGTTGATTTTGAGTGTGTTTCTATGTTTAAATAGTGCTTGAGTTTTTTTATAAATACATGTCTAGAATTGGGTTTATTTATAAATTTATATTAAAAAAATCATTTAGCACTTCTCTCCGTGCAATTTTTCCCTCATGATTTTACGGGGGAGGGGTGCGTAACGATTTTTGTATGTGCTAATGATAACTCCCTGTAAAACCTTTTAGATATGATCTGAAAATTTTAAGAAACAAGTCTCAGTTCTAACTAAATTTCACTCATCTTCTCACTTGTTCTCCATTTATGTGGTTAAATTTTGTAGACTTTGCTGAAGAAAAGGGCACGACTGTCGGGGTTGGGAAGGGAGGGGTGAATGTCCAAGCCGGGAAAGGGAAGCCAGGTGGCGGCACCAACGTGAATGTCGGAGGCAAAGGCGGTGGTGTCGGGGTGACCACCGGGAAGTCTGGAGGAGGAACCAACGTTGGTGTTGGCAAAGGAGGAGTGTCTGTCAACACAGGGCGCAAGGGCAAGCCTGTGTATGTTGGAGTGAAGCCAGGAGGAAGCCCTTTCGTGTACAAATATGCAGCCACTGAGACTCAGCTACATGAAAATCGAAACGCAGCTATTTTCTTCTTGGAGAAGGACATACGTCCTGGCACAAGCATGACCTTGACGTTCTCTGGAAACTCAAACACCGCGGCTTTCGTTCCACGCGAAACAGCGGATTCCATCCCCTTCTCGTCCAACAAGCTGCCAGAGATTTTCAGCCAGTTTTCGGTGAAGCCAGAGTCTGTGGAAGCTGATATAATAAAAGGGACAATTGAAGAGTGTGAGAGCTCAGGCATCAGAGGAGAGGAGAAGTATTGTGCTACCTCTTTGGAGTCAATGGTTGACTTCAGCACTTCCAAGCTTGGAGGAAACATTCAAGCAATCTCAACAGAGGCAGAGAAAGGAGCCACATTGCAGAAGTACACAATTACCCCTGGAGTGAAGAAGCTGGCAGCTGATAAATCAGTTGTGTGCCACAAGCAGACCTATCCTCATGCTGTTTTCTACTGCCATGCAACAAAAACAACAAGAGCTTATGTGGTGCCTCTGAAGGGTGCTGATGGGTTGGAGGCTAAAGCAGTAGCAGTTTGCCATACAGACACATCAGAGTGGAACCCAAAGCATTTGGCCTTCCAAGTGCTAAAAGTTAAGCCAGGAACCGTTCCCGTCTGCCATTTCCTTCCGAAAGATCACATTGTCTGGGTTCCAAAGAAATCTACATGATTTTTTGAACCCAGATATGATCAGTTCTACATATATGATCACCTTAGCATAGTTTGAGTGCCAAACAGTTTGAAATTAAACCGATCGAATATATCCGATTACTTCTCGTCACTATGTATTTCAGCAACCTACATATATACTCATAAAGCATGCTGTAGTGGACATGTTCTACTTTCAGTTAATAGATAATATGATTTGGCCTTCTGTTGCTACTTGTGTTCTGCTTATAATTTTATCCCTGAATCAGAAATTAAATGCTCCATTTTAAATAGAATAAAATTCAGGCTACTACATCAAACATCTCAGGGTACATTACCAGCTATATATAACGAAAATCAAACGTCTCAGAAATTAAATGCTCCATTTGTGAGCAGGAGACGTATTATTCATTTATTATTATAAATCACAACATGAAAATTATGTTCTTTTACACAAATTCGAAACGAAAATTGAAGAAGTTGAGAGATTAGCTTGCTTCATCACTACAACAATACGGACACTAAGATGGAATAGACCCACCAATATGCCCAACGTCCCTGCTGCAATATGATGAGAGGCTATTCCTCCCGGAACAAAAGGATCAAAACCCTCCACACCCCATGCTGGATTTACGGATTGTACCCTTCCGGTTAGTCCTTAAGGATTGGACACCCATATTCCAAAACCATACAATCCTGTTACATGAAATGCACCAAAACTTGGTTTATGATTCACTCAATTCTTTAATTTTCCGATCCAAAACAAGGAAGAATAAAGGACCAAAAAAGAAAAAGAAAAAGAAAAAGAAAAAGAAAAAGAAGCAGGTAACTCGAAACCAAATTATTATAAAAGAAAAATTTCGTTGCAATCAATATAGTAATAATAAGTAATATAATGATTTCTAACTATATTTATAATTAAGAATGGGCATAGATGACACTAAACCGACAGCGGAACCTCTTAAATTTGCCGTCTCTGTTTACAAGACGACAGTCTTCTATATAGGTGTGAAAGTGTTGGGTGTTTAGGTTTTAGAAAACACATTCATATGAAGTTGACGGTTTTAATTGGACCGTCATCTAAGTTAAATGCGGAACTTCAATTTTTAGCAAACAGGCTATCAAAAGGACAAAAGAAATCGAATACGAGAACAAACCATTTTTCATTAAGTTAGACCCGCTGGCAAAAGGGTTGATTGTAAGAAAGGAATGATTGTAAGAACGGGATGATTGTCGTATTTTTATGGAAGAGAAGTACAACGTTGTGCGACATTAGATGGGTATAGAACATGGTGGGTCAGGCTAATTTGCTAGCTTTCTACTTATTAGCTGCACTGCTCTTTCGTTGATTAGAAGGCTTACATGCCTATTTATATGCAAGGTTGCCAACATGCCCTGCAGCCTTGTCATATCGACTTGGACATATCAATCTGCCAACCCACTATCACGAACTCCTACACAATTTCAGCACATGTGGGTATCTTCTAGTTTCTATAAATCTCAAATGTGCCACTTGCTGTTGCTTACCATATGAGCTAGCCCTGGTTTTCTTGTTTCTTTCTACTGGAGTGTTTTTTTTCCCTATGGCAAAAGTTGAGGCATGATGGAGTTTCGTCTCTCCCACATCTTTGCTTTTCTCACAGTAAGCTCTGTAATTAATTTGAGTTTTCCCTATGATTTTAGTGAAGTCACATATACTGCTGATTTCAATTTCTTTATTTCTTACAATGAGAGTTCAAATGTACAGCTCATACTGGTAGAAAGGGTGAACCATGCTGCTTTACCGCCACCTCAACTTTACTTGTTGAACTCCTTCCTGCTAGACACACCAATCTCCAAAGCTCTCAGTGGTTAGTTCAGTGAGCTCCTCTTCAACTATTTTACTGTTGACTTTTGTATCCATTTTTGTACATACCTTCTCAATTTGTATTTACAACCTTAGTTCAATGAGCCCCTGTTTGGCCGGTTGTTTTAAACCCCCGACACCTTGTTTCGTAGCCACATGTTCTAATCCTCTGAGCTACATACTCCACCTCGTCTTCACTGGATCTGTTCTTTGGAGTACCCTAAAAAAGGAACATTTCATCTCCCGAACCTCCTTCAACCATTTTACTGATGGCCAAATTTTGCACTACTCATCGTCCTTGCAGTTCGTTTTTCTCTTGCATTTTCATTCGTGTAGTTTAATTTGGTTCCCCTGCTAATAATCAGTTGTTCACTTACAAGTGGGATGCAAGCTGAAAAACTCATGTTTGGTTACAACCAAGTGCTAAGGCCCAAAAACTCATGTCGGTTACATCCAAGATGCTGTGGCTGACAATCAGATCGACCCAACCCGAGTAATTTTCTTCGTAGAGAAGGACGTACATACCGGCACAACTATGAAATATCGCTTAGCCGGAAATTCAAGTAGGGTGCCTTTAATGTCCCGCAAAACTGCAGAAGCGATCCCCTTCTCATCCAGTAAACTGCCAGAAATTCTCAACCAGTAATCAGTGAAACCAGGGTCTGTGGAAGCCGCTATAGTTAAGGAAACCATTCAACATTGTGAACGTCCAGCAGCTAGAGGAGAAGAAAACTACTGTGCCACCTCTTTGGAGTCGATGATTGTGTTGAAAAAGTAATGCATATTTATGTAACCACACAATTCTAGAAAACTTACAAACTAGATGATGGAATGTCGGCAACACAAAAAAAAAAATATGCAGAGAATATTTGTTAAATTTAATAGACACTTTAAGATTATAGAAAAATCTAGAAAAAATTAGAAAACTCAAGAAAATTCACTAACTTTGACAAAGTCTAGCTTGAAGAGATGATTAGAAAAGTCCTAATAAAAATATTGTAATAAAGTAATAATATTATAAAGTAGTGGCTAGGAGAAGAAGCCAAGTCCACCGACTTGGACAATGGCGGCAGCTTAAGTGTATAAATAGATGTAGTCTCTTGTACAAAGCTAAGAGAGAGAAGAGGCCAATAAGCCAAAAGGCCAATAAGCTTAGCAAACAGTTTCTAGTTGTTGAAGGCCATAAGCCTAGTCCTCTATAAAGCCTTGTACCCGTCTATTGTTGAATAAATAAAATCACTCTTTTGTTCTCTAAAAACCCAACAATATTCTAAATGAAGCCACACGCTTGTGGCTAGAGAAAAGATAACAAGTCGGCGGGACTAAAGCATGGCGGCAAGCCTCAACTATAAATAGACATGCAATGTAATCTAGCAAAGTGGAGTCAACAAAAAGAACTCCCAAACCAGATGTGGAGTGAACCAATAAACTCCCGAACTAAATGTGGAGTAAACAAGCCAACTCCCAAACTATATGAGAGCTATAAGAGAGCTACCCAAAACTAGTTTAAGGGAGCCAACAAGAGAGTCTCCCAAACTAAGTTATGTGGAGGAGCCAATAAGCTCACCAAGCTAAGAGAGAGTGTGATGGCCAATAAGCCACAAGCTATGAAGAAGGCCAATTAGCCTACATCTATGTACTATTTTGTGAATCCCCATATTTTTAAAATATGTATATCAATATTTCATAAAATTAAATATTTATAATTATTAGTTTTCAAAACTATATAATTGATAATATATATATATATAAGTTGTATGGCAAGCTACGTGAATCTAGCCATTAACTAGTATAGCCTATCAAATCTTATTGCATGGCTTTAACTATATCAATTCATTTCAACCTTATTTAATATTTATTATATATATATATATATATAAAACACACTTTACAAAAGCATTTAGAAAGGTTTTTATTTGCTTATTAAGCTTTCTGTTAAAGATTGACGTGTTGCAAATATGGAGTCCTCAAAACCAATTAAAGCATGAGGTGGGAGATGTTGGCATGAGGTGTAAGCACAATAGGTATTCTTATATATATAAACTTAATTGGAGAGTGCTCACTAAGCACTCTACAAAGCCAACACATAAGGCTATTTGGGGTGGCAGATTATTTTCAAGCCACCCAAGTAGTCAAGCAATCTGTAGGCTAGTTATGTGGCACAATATTAAGCTTTCATCTATATCTTTGCCGACTCTAGCTTGCTATAAATAGCACATGTCACGACCCGACTCCCCTAGCACGATATTGTTCGTTTTGGGCCCCCTTTCTGCTCTCACGGTTTTGTTTCTGGGAGCTTACGAGCAACTTCCCAGTGGGTCACCCATCCTGGGATTGCTCTAGCCCCCAACTCGCTTAACTTCGGAGTTCCTAAGAATCCGAAGCCAGTGAGCTCCCAAAAGGCCTCGTGCTAGGAAGAGAAGTGCCCACACATTTAAGCACTTCACCTTTCCCTCATCGAGCGATGTGGGATTGCTCACCGTTCTTGTTTCCCCAAGACACGAGTCTTACAATCTACCCCCCTTGGGGCCCAGCGTCCTCGCTGGCACACTTTCGGTCGGGGTCCGGCTCTGATACCATCTCCGCCGTAGCACGATATTGTCCGCTTTGGGCCCCCTATCTGCCCTCACGATTTTGTTTCTGGGAGCTCAAGAGCAACTTCCCAGTGGGTCACCCATCCTGGGATTGCTCTAGCCTCCAACTCGCTTAACTTCGGAGTTCCTAAGAATCCGAAGCCAGTGAGCTCCCAAAAGGCCTCGTGCTAGGAAGAGAAGTGCCCACACATTTAAGCACTTCACCTTTCCCTCCCCGAGCGATGTGGGATTGCTCACCGTTCTTGTTTCCCCAAGACACGGGTCTTACAGCACAACCTAATAGTTCTTGTATCATAGGTTCTTCAGTTGCGTTAGTTTCCTAAAAATCGTAGACAAAGAAAAAAAGAGTGAGAACTAAAGTGTGGTGAGATTTTGGAGAAGCACAAAGTGTTTGGACTAGCAATTGGGAGTTATACAATAGCTTTGGATTTGAGGTAGGGGTTTTTCTTGGGGAAGCTTTACATAAATTGATTTAATTAAATACTGTGAACACTATATTATGCTTGGTAATATTATTTGATTATTATTCTTGATATTGAGTGTTTACATATTGTCAATTATCATTATCATTTGATTAATATTGACATGTTCATATGTTATCGGTGGTGGTTGGAATTCTTAGGTTGATAAAAAAATTATGGAAAAGAGGGTAATGGGTAGGTTCTTTTGTGTAGTTGAGTCTGACCATTGTAAGGATCAAGTTCAGGCGAGCCCGTGTGCACAGTAGATTAGGAAATCAACGGTGTAATTATCAATTGGGTGATTTGGGCTTGGAGATCAATGATGTAGATAAGATGACTAGCAAAAGGGGATTTATGGGATAACTGAGATGAGTGTTAGTTTATATAATGGGGCATTCGGAATCACAATGGTAAAATGCATGGTATGTGACATGCAGATTTACTTGCCCTATTATATAGATTAACGGGTTAGGAAAAATTGAAGTTCATTCATGCATTGCATAAACTGTACATTATAAATCTCACTAATCACATAAGACATAGGACCCCTGCTAAGCATGTAGTGCTCACCCATTATTGAATCTATTGCAGGTTTTGAATCTGAAGTTTAGTTTGTGACGAGGAAACAAGAAGAACGAGTTGTGGATAGTTTTGAATGTTTTGTTGAAAGTTTGTTACTTTCTTGTTATTTTGCTTGTAAAATTACAATGTAAATTACATTGGTTTAAATAAAAGTTTATGTTCAATCTTCATGTTTCTTGATATTTAATTAAGCTACACTTTCTTCTGCTTGTCGTACCATTGTTAATCGTGTGCGTGCCTCTAGTACTCTAGTCAAGGGTCATATGTCGAATAACGTGAGTGACTTGTGTACTATTCATTCCTTTGGGGTGCGCTGTAAACCCAATCCCAATCCCAAAATTATTGAGGTTACATGGCATCCCCCACGCATTGGTTCGGTCAAAATTAATACTGATGACACTCCCAAAAGTGACTCTGGTAAAGCAGGTAGTGGTAGTGTGTTTCGAGATTATCATGGTTGTGTACTTGGGGCATTTTGCTCAAATTTAGATGTCCTTAGTGCAGTACGTGCTAAATTTTTAGATGTCATCAAGGCCATTAAGCTTGCTTGGCTTCATGCTTGGCTTCATGCTTGGATTGAAACTGATTCGTTATTAGTTACTCAATTCTTTCGCTCTCCTCATTTGGTCCCTTGGCACCTGCGGGTTGATTAGCAGAATTTCTTGCATCGTCTCTAGCACATGTTGTTTAAGATTTCTCATATATTTTGCAAGGGTAATCATGGAGCTGACACTTTGGCAAATCACGGTGCTCTAGGCTCTGGTTTCACATGGTGGGACACTGCACCTTCATTTATTTTGTCCTTTTGTCATCGGGACTAGTTGGGCATGCTCGGTTACCATTTTACTTAGTCTCTTTTTGTTTATTTTTTTTTTATAGTTTTGGTTTCTTGGGTCCGCATATTGATGTGCGCCCCTTATGTTGGTCTTTTTTTTCTGCAGGGATTTGGTTTGGTCCCCTTATTATTCTTGTTTTCTTTACATGTTTCTTTTCTATTAATAAAATTATGATAAAAGGAATGGGTGGGGAGCTCCCGGAATTTATTGGTCCCTTATTTGAGGGTTGTGGATGTTTGTGCATCCAATGACCGATACTAAGGAGCTAATCTCACCTAATATCTTGTTCTATTTTTTTTTTTTAAAAAAAGAATACTACCACCTCTTACTACGAATCCATACATCTTTGTTTGAAACTGTTGTTCTAGTTGGCAAAGAGATTTCAAAGATCACTATCTTGCATTTTTGTTACAACAAGTAAGAAATAATCTTTGCCTCTCACATTCTTTCAAAGTTAGTAAAATACGGAATGGGAAAAATACCTACGTGATTTATTCAGAAAATTTTGGCAAGTTACAACTGAAAAGTTCGGCCACTATATAATATTTTAATATATATAATTTTTATTCAATAATATGTGAAAATTTTATGTGTATTATTGAAAATTTTGTAAAAAACATGTGTATTATTAAACATGAAAAATACATACATACGTGTACAATGTGTATTGTATGTTTGCTTTTAAAAAAAATATGGACGTGTATGGAAAACGGAATTATTATTGAAAGATACGTACTTACATGTATAATACAAGTATTAAATGAGAAAATGCATGCTAAATTCTTTACATGGGAAATAAATAAAAAATTAAAAGGGGATAATAGCATAATAGTAATGGATAATGCTCTAAACTACTCTTATTGATAAAGAAAAATCAGGGAATTTTTTTTATTAAAAAAAAAGAGTAAAGCCGCGCGGCTCTTCTCGATACATTATTTAAGTCTTACAGCCGCACGGCTGTACCTATTATTTAAAAGGTATAGCGGCGCGGCTATACTATTTATTAGTGAAAAAAAAAAGGAGAGAGAACCCGCCTAGCCCTCCTAGGCGGCCGATTTTTCGAAAACTTGACTTTCTTCATCTTCTGCGTTTTTACGCAATAGATTTTTATGAGTACAATGAGTTAGATCATGAGAAATTTGCAACAGAACCTAAACATATTGACAAACAAGATTTGGGAAGTTTTGGCTGGGAAAAGAAAATTTCAAGAATACTATTTGTGTTGGGTTTACGTTAAATGTTTTCATGTCAAAAATAGAGAGCATCCCTCCTGTTGCTGATATGAGATATGAATCATTCAAAGTAGGACATAGCCTCTTCAGGGTTGGTGCTGGGAAGGTCATTGTTCATCAGCTCTGAGCCACTCCTTGGTTTCCATAAATTAGGGTGAACCTTGGGAGTTTGGGTAA